GTGAGGTTCGAACTCCAGCAACCTGAGGCTGACAGCTTTGTGGAAGCAGCCACTTAAAGGCCTGAGCTAGGGCCAGGCCCCTTGAGCAGATGATGGAGTACCTTGTTCTGATAGATCTGGTTTCTTCTCCCCCTGGTTCAGGTCTGTCCCGAACTTCAGTTTATGGTATTTGGCCCTAAACAAGCGAGATTAATGAGTAAGGGACCTGAGAGTAGACAGGACCAGCAGCCACCCCAGGAAGCCCCAATCCCAGAGCATCTCAAATCTATTTACGCCCCGCCCACCACACCCAGCTGCCCCCAGGAAGTGGAACGGAGAGGCGGTGGTGCAGCTGGCTTCTTGGAGTCGGGCCAGCTGCTATGCCAGTCTTAAAGCCGCTATTCCTTATGGGAAATAGAGCCAAAAAAACCCAACAGGCAGGTGGGAAATGAAGGAGAGAGTGAATGTCCAGGAGGTGGCACGCAGGGGGCCGCTGTTACCCTGAATACCTCTCTGATGCCAACTCTGAATCCCCCACCATGCTCAATTTATGCCCCTCTCCTAGAAGATGGGATCCCAATTTATGCTCCTCTCCTAGAAGATGAAAGGCAGAGTGGCTAGCACAGAGCGGGGCTCACCTTTCCTGCTTCAGTGCATACTCTAACATCTTGATCCGCCGCACCAGGTCTGTCTTTAGATTCTCTTGCCCCTTCCGTTCTCCCTGGAGGAAGGCCACCTGAGCCTAGGAGGACAGAAGGGAGAGAATGGTGGAGCTCTGGCTTGGTGACAGTGGGTCCCTTACTTAGTACATCTCCAGCCCTAGCCCCACAGTGACACAGGGTCTAGTAAAACACTAAAAAGGCTGGGTCTGTCTCCACTGTCCCAGCCCATGTCACCCACAATGAAAGAGCTGAACACTACCCATGAAATTATTTTTCTTTTCTTTTTTTTTAATGTATTTAGTACAGGGCCTACAGGGTCTCACTACACATATCAGACTCAGTGATCCTCCTGTTTTCAGCCTCCCAAGCACTCGGGATTACAGGCGCATGCCACCAGGCCCAGTCTCAATTGTCATCTCAGCATGCTCCACAGGCAGGGCCGGCACAGAACACCAAGGATCAAACCCCAGTCCGTGTATGCCTAAGCAGGCACTTTAATCCGCTGAGATATCTGGCCAGCTCTTGATCCGTGAAATTCTTTTTTTTTTTTTTTTTGGCGGAACAAGGGATTGAGCTCCGGCCCTTGAGCTTGCCAGGGAAGCGCTTATTCCACTGAGCCATCTCCCCGGCCCAACCCGTGAAATTCTTAACCCCTGAAATTAAAACGAGCCAGCTGGGCATGGTGCTGCACCCCTGTAATCCCAGCACTCAGGAGACTGAGGATGGAGGATTACCACAAATTCAAGGCCAGCCTAGGTATAGAATGAGTTCAAAACCACTTTGAACTACACAGCAAAGACTCTGTCTCAAAACACCAAAACAAAACAAAACAAAAACACCTAAAAAAAAAAAAAAAAAAAGCCTCCCCAAAAAAAAAAAAAAAAAAAAAAAAAAAAAAAAAAAAAAAAAAAAAACTGGGCCAGCAGGGACCTAACTTAGCTGCATGGGGTGGGGGTGGGGAGAGAGTCAGGCCCAGGACTGCAGGCGGGGAATGGATATTAACAGCCCTGACCTCCCCCTCACTCTCACCGGCTGTTATCCCTCAGGTTGCTGGTGGAGGTGGCAACCCACTATTCCTCTCAGAGCATCTGTCTCCCAGAGGCGTAGGAAGCTACTTCTGGAGCTTAGGGACAAGAGTGGGTGGCTTGGCTCAGCTCCCACTGTAGTGCAGGAGCTTTATCACCTGACCCCCACCAGCCCCACCATGCAGACCATCCGCTGAGGTCTGCCCTAGGCCTGAGGCTGGCCCAGGCTCCTGCCAAGAATTTCACACCATCTGCTAGCCCAGGCTGCACCAGTCTACTGTCAACAGGCCATTTGGAAACACTGCACCAATGGCCTTTGAGGTAGGATCCTGGCCCCTGACCATGTTTTTGAAGCCCTTCAGGTAAAGCCCTGGTCATGGGGCACACATCTGGCTTCTCCCTGAGGGTTCCATTGGTCCCGATAGGGACAATGTGAACACCAGACCTGGCCAGGCCACTTACTTGCTTAGGCAAGTCACAAGCTTAAGCATGTCACAAAACCTCCATGTGCCTGTGTCCAGAAAATGGGGTACATAAGAGGCGTTCCCTCATGTTTGGTTCTCCATCAAGGCCTAGCTCAGACTGAAGGTTAACTGACAGCTCCTACCTTAACTCCTTGTCATTTTTGTCTTTCCTAACTTCAAAATGAGCACAGCTCTTTGAAACATAAAATTCATAGGGTTGAAATGCTGTGGATTATGTCCCCTCCCCTCGTGGACAGCTGCATCTTCCCAGCACCACATTGCTTGGGTATCTCAAATTTCAAGGGCTCTACCAGAAGCTCCCAGTCTAACCCAAGACACCTCCTCCAGGCTGTGTTCTACCTGTCCTGGGCTGTCTCTCAGATATTCACATAGGCTGTTCTTTCTCTCCTCGGGGTTCCTAAGACCATGGCCTACCTGCCATGTGTACCTGGAGTAGCTATCGCCTCTGTCCTGGTTCAGGACCTGGAGTGGTCCCTGGGTTGGCAGAGAGCTGAGCTTATGCAAAGTGATATCCAGCACCCCAGGGACATGGCACGCACATACACTGCTGGGCCAGGCACAGCTGCAACCCTCCCTGAGGGGAAGCTGACTGTTTACAGAACCATGATCCATGCACACTCTCTGTCCCATTGGTCTCACTGCTAGGAATCTGTCCTATGGGCACCTTTACAATGGTATGCCTCTTTATAAAGAAATAAAAAGGGACACACATCCATTAATATGACAAAAGATCTATGCCACAAATACTTATCAATCCCAACTGTGAATTGGGATAAGGCACTAAGCAAGATCGGGTGCAGTATGGGGGACTGTAAGACAAATAAGCAACAAATGAATCCGTCACCAGGTACATATGGAAAAAATACCTGCTTGCCCACTGAAGGGATGAGACCTTTGCTCCTCTTAATACTTTCTTACAAACACATACGTGCACAAATATCCTCTGCCAGTCAGCCAGATTCCTCACATGTAACTGATATCTGACCTCTGCATATCTTGTCAGTCCCCAAAGCTATAAGCATTGTTTTACAAGGCAGAGAGGAAAAGATCTATCACCAGGCCTAAGCCCCAAGTGTCCCCCTTACTGTCACCTGCCTTTCTGGGCCTCTGTTACTGATCCACCTACAGGTTCCGTGAAGTGCAACCTGGCAACGCTGTCTGGGGTCTGCCCAGCAGGCAAGGTCCTGGGGAGGAACAGAGGAGCCATAAGGCTCCTGCCCCAAAGGGGCTCTCCACTGAGTGCAGGAGACAGGTATGGGCAGCAACAAACCACACGAAATGTGACCATGGGGGGCCTACCCCTTAGCTCAGTTCTTTAAGTGGCTGCTTCAACAAAGCAGTCAGGGGCTTCAGCGTCTTCTAATCTATTCCAATGATCCTCAGGTCTATTTTGTTGCCAGTACCATGCTGATTTTATCACAGTAGCCTTGCAGTATAATTTCAAGTCAGGAATTGTAATGTGTCCTGCCTTGTCTTTATTGCCCAGGATTGCCTTTGCTATTCTAGGTCTTTTCTGGTTCCAGATAAATTTTAGGAATGA